AAGAGACTTGGCATTGGAGGAAAGGTTCTTCATTTGTCAAGACATGTCAAGAACAAGCTATCTGGCAATGATGGGATGTTCCCTGTACTCCTCACCCCAAACTTCCCATGGGCCATCTGCTCCCATCTGGCCATTTCTGTCTTGTCCTGCTCCCTGCCTTGGTGGGTGCAGACTACAAGTACCTTACCTGCTAGGGACGGGCCCAGCCAAACACTGTGACAAATAAAAGTGGCTGAGGACAATATCTTAACGCCTACTCATTCAGGAATCCAGTCAGGCTGGTTTTGTTCCGTTTCTAAAGCCAGCTAAATTCAGCTATACCCCTAGCAATAACTAGATAATGATGCAGCCACCCATGGAGTTCAGTTGGGGCTGAGTTACATTCTTTTAACCCACACCATACAAGTAACATCCGATCTTTGAGCTGCTTAAGACTCGTTAAGAGAAAGTAAAAAACTACCATGTCACCAGCCAGTGGCCCAAGAGCAGACAGACCAAAGGCCCCATGTGTCTAGAGATTTTTCCATGTGTCTAGAGATTAACAAAAGGCCACCATCAACTCACCAACAAAAGACAGATGTGGCAAGGCTGGCCTCTAAGGTATAGGCTTGTGCCAAGAATATTAGGGGATCCTTAACTTGTTAATGTCCAGATGGACATTACCACAGAAGGCTGTATTTTACTCAGAATTAAAGACAGATGTAAACGTGAAGTGCTGGCCACTGGCAGTTACAGCAGTGCAGCAGGGAGTCCTGGAGGAAGACCCAGATGTGGGGAGCAAGTGCATTCAGGCTGTGTTGCTAACAGTTGCAGGAACTACTGTGAGTGGTGCTGGCCATATGCTGCAGGGAGACGATGGAGCCAAGAAAGATGACCTCGAGCGGCACTCCATGTCCAGCCCCACCCTGGGGGAAGAGCTGCATTTACAAAGCGCTCCGCATTCATGGGTGTTGAGGTCATGCCGGTGGTACCTCGTGGGGGTTTGTGCCCAGGGGAGAGTGCACAGCGTTCTTGAACTTTCCGCTACCGGCCGGAACTCCACACCATGTCAACTTGCGCTTCCTGTGGTAACAGGAAATGAACTCATCTACTTCCCTACACATATAGGGACTTGTGGGGCGGTCTCCTCACACCGATGCACAGGACAGAAAAAGGCTGCAACTGATGGGTTATAAGCGTGCTGAAGCTGTGAGTGGAGATCATTTGCAGTTTAGAACACGAGAATTCCTCCTCTGAGGAGAAAAATTCTTTCCTGTTCTAACCCCATTAATGACAAGGTGAGATTCATCCCAAGGCCATTCCATGGGAAATGGTGGGTGTTGGCCACTAATGAGGCTAGTCCAGAAGCAGGCTTATTTCTGAACTGATCACTGGAAACCTTGCACTGTAAACTGGGTGCTTTGCAGCATTCAGCTCCATTATGCTACGGATACAGAACGCAGAAACGATGGAAGTAGGAATGCACGAAAAGTTCTTTTCAAGGACGCCCAACAGGCTAAGGCTTTCATATAAAAAGATCCCACACTTCCTTGCCCCGTTTAGCCAGCAGCCAGTTGGCGTGCCATGAATAGGTCACACGGAGCAAACAGCCAATTCTGACCAACTGGATTTGTAATTTTCCAAGCTGGATTCTGCCCAGCACTTTCCTAGGCTAGTGGGAATTTTCCTCCTCCTCTGGCCCCAGCCACCTGAGCCAAGGACAGGTTCCCTCTTCCATTTTAAGACCGCAGAGGCTAGATTCCAGAAAAAAATCCCTAGAGACCTGCCACAAATAGAGTAGCAAAGCTTCCTCCATCCACTCTCTATGCCATGCAGACCACATTTCCAACGAGAAACTGTCCTCCTCACACCTGTGGAATGGAGCAAAGCTGTTGATGAGGAGTCTACCCCATGACAGAAGGACGTAGAAAGAAGAAGAAAACTTTCTATCTGACCCAAAGCCATTTCAGATAGCTGATTTGTACAGTATTCATGAATCTGAACAGATGGGGAGTCATTTCTAGAAAAGTTGGACAGAAAGGGCTAAAGAGCAGCATGCATTTCTCTCCTATAAAGACACTTTCAGTTACTTATCGCAAGTCTGAATAGTGAGGCACACACCAGCAGGGGAACAGTGTCCCATAGGAGCTTCCTGACACTATTTGCAATTTCAAGTGGATCCCCAGCTTCAGAATTACATAAGGATCTTATTTGGGATGCTTCAAATTGTTAAAACATCAATGACCGGCATTTTCTCAAGTAGAAACGGTATCTAGAAAGAAGAGAACAGGGAAGGAGAAGGGAGAGGCAAGGGGGTCAGCATCCTCTCATCACAGCAGGGCAGGGCTTGGAGGACTGGCCATTCTCAGGAGGGAGCTCCCCTTAGGAGCTGTCTGAGGGGCTCACAGCAGCTCTTTACCAAGGCAGTGGGCTGAGACTAGCAGCTGTGCCGGAGCCACACTGTGCATGTGGTGGTGTGGGCAGCACCCTGAGGCCCTCTGGGTCACACAGGGACAGCACTGGCTCAGAGGTCCACACCCAGCTGGGGCTCCTGATGGGCAGCTTGGCCAGGCCTCACTGGAGAGTTGGGGAAATAAGAGGAAATGGCTTCTGACCAGGCCCTTCCAAGCACATCTAATGTTTCCAGATGATTTGATAAGCAAGTGTCGTGAACTTGAGGGAGAAGCGGGTGGTGAGGGGCACTGCTGCTCTGTGATAACCAAAGCCCTTGGGTTCCAAGATGACCTTATCAAAGGAACATAATGTGAAAAGCCTTGTTGGCACTGCCTCACCAATCACTGGCAACCAGTCGTGCTTCAGCTGAGGTAACCGCTGGTTTTACTTGGCTCAGGGACTGCCGGGAGGGTCTGCTGCTGCAAAGGCATGCACGGTCTGCATAGAAGCTCATCTGTCCACAGGGTAGGGGGCGGGGGTGGCTTTAAAGACCTGCCCTCAGTTCCCTTCTCTAACAGTTCTGTTTATCTTCCCTTCTGCTTGATAAAGATTCACCTTGACATGGAGATAAGTATCTGGGAGACAGAGTAATGGCGTCAGCAAGAGACCCTCATGACATTTCTTGAAAATAACTGGAGGGCTCATCCTTCATCCACTCTTCTTCTCTTGGCATGGGGTAGTGTCAGCGTGCTTTGGTTGTCACAAGACCCAGAAGTCTGGGTTTCCAGCTTAGCTGGCCCGAGTTCTTCACGAGGCAAAGGAAGTGGTAGCTGGTGCCCCAGGTAGAGCAGCCAACACAGAGACCACCTGTGTTCCTCCTGGCTCCACATGGACGTTGGATCCCGCAGCAGTTTGATCCTTGGGGGAGCTATACAATGTTCTCTGCCCCGGGCAGGGGCCCCTGTGGGGGTCCACGGTCTTGCTTACTGTGCAGCTGGGCCAGCTGCAGAACTGGCATGTTGCACAATGGACACACCTTCCGAACCTCCAGCCACTTAATAAGGCACCTGCAAGGTGAGACAACACAGGAGGGGGAGGTCAGTCCCATGCTTGTGGTGCCTCCTGCCCACCTCCATCATGGGTTGAACACCTCTGTCCCTTATAGCCAGGGGTCAGTGTGAACACTCAGGTCCCAAATAGCTCCACCAGCAGGTGCACCAGAGCCTCTAGTCTTCCAAAAGGTGATACTAAGAAACCACAGCATGCTATATCCTCAAATTATCCTGACTTGTTAATGAAGTACACTGAGGATGGTGGTGGGAAGTAGGAGAAATAAAAGTTTTTAATAGAAATAACATAAAATTGTCAGAGAAGAGGAAATATTAATACATCTTCATGGCAGATGGCCTCCTCTACCATTTACATTCATACTTTATTATTTTGATTTAAAATAACCATGGTTTTGATTAAAGTAAGTTTTTAAGAATAGAAGCTCTCTTAGAAAGTTCCAGTTAAGTAGCTGCTTATAGCCCTGGTTCTAAGGAGGTGGCTTATCTGGCCCTCTGCTTAAAGTCCTAACTGGTAGTCATGTTCCATCACCATAATCCCTCCTAATGTCACGTGTGCGCGCGCACGCGCGCGCACACACACACACACACACACACACACACACACACTCTCACCCTGTGGGGCACATTCTGCTTTCTGCATTGCAGACCAGTCATAAAGCTGTCAAGCTTGTCTGGCACTGTCCCAAGCCCACAAGTTGCTCAATACACCTCAAACACAGGTCCCTTTAAATAATTCCACACCAATACTCACTTTCTGTGGAAGGCATGCTTACATGGACAAATGCCCAACTCATCTCGAGGCTTGAAGTCTTCTAGACACACTGCACAGAGCTGAAAGACAAATTCACAGGTAAGGCAACATGTCTGCTAAGTACACTCGCAGCCCCGAAGTAAAGTAGAGACCCCTGAGGCCAGCCATTTGAAGGGACTTACAAGGTCCCATGACTCCTTAAGTGAAAGAAACAGGCTGGAATGCGCCAGGTCTTCTGAAGAAGAGTCTTCTGCTTTTCCTGTCACCTGTCTTCAAGATAGAGGGCAGACAGGAAGAGACAGCAAAGGAAGCTTCCTTTACTTCAGTGCATCGGCAGAGTCTCACTTAGGTTTATTCTTAGTAGACAGACTGAATATCATGCAATTTTCCTGTGGTGGATGAGAAGCTGACTCCCAGGGAATGCCTGCTCAGCAGCACAGCCCCTAAGGGGGACGGCTCATGCCCTGGGGCGGGGGTGTCTCCTTTGGTTTTTCATAATGTAGAAATTATAAACCATGGCACAGCCTGCGGTAACATGCTTTTTATAGTTCCTGGGGCCCTTCACTTTGGCACAGTCCTATCAGTGTCTTATAGAGAGTTATTCAAGAGTCACTAAAGTTAAACTTATGAAAATATACAGATGGAGCTGTAGAGAGGATCACCCTCTGACAGGTGGCCAGGCTCTACTGCCTGGAAAGAGACCTCCTCCCTCACAGCCAGATGCTGGGTTCTAACCACTACTACTTGGGCACATGCTAGCACCCAGGGATATCAAGTATCATTGTATATACCCACTTTACAGATGAGAAAACAGGCTCAGAGTAACCACCTTGTTGAGTAACCAGGCCTGGCTGGGGACCCAGGTCCACTGCACAGATGTCCTGCTGTACTACTTGTCTCCTGCCCAAAGGTTGAACTCCTCCCTGCTTGCTTCCCTGTCCATCTCCAGGGATCCTGGTTCAACCATCACTATTTCTTGTCCATCCCATTGACATGACCTTCCTGTTGCCTGTATCTTCATTCACCTGTAATATGTAACCCAGTCTTCTTAAGTTATGTGACAGGACACATGGCTCTTCGTGCCCTGTGGTCAGTGCTGTGAATGCTGGTTTCCAACACCCTTCTTTGGGGGAGCTCTCAGGGGGGTTTGTGTATACAGTAGATAGGATCCTCACAAGAGGAGGAGAAAAATGGATAACTGTCTTAGGTTCAGCATTACTGTGAAGACAGCAGGGGAGAAGCCAGGACAGATAGCCTTGGCTCAAACACCCACTAGATGTGGGACCTCAGCCATCATGATGCCTCTTAAGCTCTGTTTCTTTATCTGTAAACTGGGGACACTACCTGCTCCACGGTCATCAGTTCAGACAAGGGGCAGGGCTGAGGAGGCAGTAAGGCAGGCAGTCTATCAATACTAGTGGTTTTTATTTACATTTAAATTTCATGATGGGTGCACTATTTTTAAGCCCATTTTTGACTTCTGGAGGAAGGCTGAGAATAAGCTATGAGGAAAAGTGAGAAACTAGCAGTTCCAGCCATGGGGGCCATCTTTTTGGGCTTTAGCTTCCCATCCATAAAGGGGGATGATGTTCCCACCTCACAGACTGTATGAACAGGCCCTTCTGGCCTTAAACACGAAGCTTCCCTCCCAGCACAGGAGGTAAAGAGGGTTAGGACTGCTGGCTCTGCTTCTGGAGATTCAGTGCTGATCCTACCAAAGGGCAAAAAGTTGGTAAGCCACTCATTTTAATTTGCTTATTTTTCTAGGATCCAAGATTAGATTTGTAGCGTTTTCAAAACAGAGTTATGACTAATGGTTATAATGTGCTATTATATTCTTACACAAATTCTAAAACCATAGTCACCCAGAAAAAAAAAAAAAAAGATAAATTCTGACATGTTAAGTGCCATAGGTGACCAGAAGCCAAGGGTAGTCACAAAGAGAAAAGCCTCAGATCTGACTTCTCAAAAGTTCCATGAAATGCCAAACTAATTTTATAATTTTATAGATCATATTTTGCAAATCAGCTTTACTTCCCAGTATTTCAACAAGATTGCTTCTCCAGTGTAACTTCCCATACCTTTTTAAAAAATGGAGATGTAATTCACATTAATATTCACCACTTTAAAGTATACAATTCAGCAGTTTTTAGTATATTTACAGAATTGTGCAACCATCATCACTACCCAATTCCAGGACATTTCATTCCCTGTCCCCAAAGCACACACCCATAAGCAGTCACTCCCCATTCCCCCTTCTTCCCAGTCCCTGGCAACCACTAATCAGCTTTCTGTCTGGATGGATTTGTCTATTCTGGTCATTTCCAGAATGAAATGGAATCATGAAATGGTATCTTACAATATGTGGTCTTTTTTGTCTGCCTTCTTTTACTTAGCACGATGCCTTCAAAGTTCATCCACGTTTTATGGCTAAATAGTATTATGGATATACCATATTTGTTTACCCATTCATATGTTGACAGCAGCTTGGATTATTTCTACCTTTTGGCTATTGAGAATAATGTTGCTCTGAACAAATAACTGAAGGACGCCTCGGTGGCCAGGTCTGTCAAGTGTCTGCCTTTAGCTCAGGTCATGATCCCAGTGCCCTGGGATGGAGTCCCACATTGGGCTCCCTCCTATGGGGAGTCTGTTTCTCCCTCTGCCTGCGGCTCCCTCTGCTTGTGCTTGCAGACACACACACAGACTCTGACAAAAAAATAAATCTTTAAAAAAGGGGGCGCCTGGGTGGCTCAGTGGGTTAAACCTCTGCCTTCAGCTCAGGTCGTGATCTCAGAGTCCTGGGATCGAGCCCTGCATCGGGCTCTCTGCTCAGTGGGGAGCCTGCTTCCTCCTCTCTCTCTGCCTGCCTCTCTGCCTACTTGTGATCTCTCTCTCTTTCTCTCTCTGATAAATAAATAAAAATCTTTAAAAAAAAATCTTAAAAAAAACCCCACAACAACAACAAACTAGTAATTGAGGTTTTTTTTTTTTTTTTTTTAAAGATTTTATTTATTTGACAG